TCTAAACCTCTCTTACACCAGGTCAGCAGTTGAAATACAACCATCCTTTAGTCTATAACTATGACCTCCCCCCTGACCTGGCTAAAGACAACCCCAGCATCAAGGATGTGATTAACGGTGTACATGTAACAGTTGCTCCTTGGAATCGTGCATTGACTCTGCAGTCCAAAGATGGGCAGACATTTGTCAGCTTCAACAAAGCTGGCAAGTTTTCAGCAGGTTGGTGTACATATAGTTCTGAGGGGATGTGAATAAAGTTTGCATGACATTCACCGAGGAACTGAATTTCATTAAACCTGATTTGAACTCAAGGATTAGCAGTCAATTCTCAAGTGATTTTGAAAGAACTTCAGGAGGGAGTTATTGTAAAATATATACATATCTTTGTTCTACACCTTTCCTACTATGCATTGAGGTTGCTAACGTGTTAAGCTTCCCTCACAAGATAGAGGATGTTATGCAGTGGTCCTTGAACTGCTAGCAAGAAACATCAACTGAACACCTCAACTGAAGAATTTTGCTCTTTCAGTTTTTTGAAACCACATTTCATTCTTAGATGAGTTTTCTACCTTTCTTCACTACTCAGTGCTTCATGTCGTGTTTGTTGATACAGATACATGTTTTTCTTGTTTTCTTTAGATTTGTATAAAGATTGGCTTGCTCCTTATTTCAAGAGTGGCCTGTACTGTGAGACATGGCAGAACGGGAGGGCACGAAAACTGAACTCTTCTTGCGTTGGAGGCATTGATGTCTACAATGTCAGAGAAGTGAGTCTGAGAGGTGGAAGCGATTTCAAAGGCACCAAGGATCACTCCAAGTGGGCAGTGACTACCAAGCCTGGCCTGAAGTGGACTTGCATCGGAGGTATCAATCGTGTGGTAAGTCTGCCATAACATTGTCTCATCTACCTTGACATGGCTGATCTCAGCAGGTCATTCACATCCCATATAAATGCTGTTGAAGATGTTACTTTCTCTCACCAACAGTATCACAGGTTCCTCTCATGATAACTCTTGTTGACTCCTGTTCTTTTGTACTGGCAGACCTCACAAATGTATCGTGGTGGTGGCGCAGTCTGTATTCAGAATAAAGACGTCCACAAGGCCTTCCATGATGCTGTGACTGATTATCAACCATGTTAAAGTGGAGTCCTCCAAGCCCTTTCGATATACCTTCATAATGACTTGACTAGTCTAATGTGGTTCATTTTGGATATACCTTCATAATGACATGACTGGTCTAATGTGGTTCATTTTGGATATACCTTCATAATGACTTGACTGGTCTAATGTGGTTCATTTTGGATATACCTTCATAATGACTTGACTGGTCTAATGCGGTTCATTTTGAGCCGACAGAATTTAAGATTGATGACATTTGTAGACAATTTACTATATCAACCGTTTCGTGTGAATTACCCTTGCCATTTAATGCTCATTTTTTTAAAATCCACACAGTCAAATTCGTAGGAGTATGATTAGGGCAAATATGTGTCGCTAAGTCAGAAATGGCCTGAGGTTTGTGACCGGAGTTCAACATTTAACAGAAAATTTTATTTCTTGAATTTTAGTAGATTGCTATTCCTGCTAGCAATAAGTGTAATGTTTACCATGCAAACCGTGCCAAAAATGTAGAAAAAAGTGGACAATCAGATTTAGAATCAAATTATGTCTATGCCTATAAAGCTGTCGAAATAATGTCCAGAGATGCAAAAACACATCAACTGTGTGATTTTTTAACTTTTGCAAGTCATGTTTATAATGGATGTACATCATGTGCATCACCTCTATGGAATTCTTTACAAGTACATTTTCAAAGATTTTAAATAAATTTTAAGATGTTTTAGTCCATCTTTTTATTTCAATAACAAAGTGACATTATTTACTTGTGAAAGTACACAGAATTCGGCTGGATTGTTATGTGGTACTAGATTTCAGAAGTAAACCTTAAAAGTTGGCAAATATTCCAAAGAAAAAACAGTCTCTTTGAGAGAAAGGGATTTTATATTGCTGAAAGTGTTACAAAAATGTGTGTCCATTTTCACATCATCAATACAAGATTATAAACAAATAACACATTCCTTCTTTATGATTTCATAATTGATCCATGATGCAGAAAACAGCTTTTGTAATGGACCTTGCTGTGATACTATTTTCTTGTTTCTATACTTAAGCAATAAATGTGTACTCAGACAACTTCAAATGTGATTTCGAGTGTGAATAGATTAAAATCACATGTTTATGGAAGCAAAAATCAGAAATATTAATATAAAAAAATATTGACCAACAGCATTCAACCAACAGAGAGGTGGATCCAAGTAGAAGAGATTGGAAGAAACCGTACAGATATCGAATAACCACACCACCCACTCCTGTTTTGGAGAACTTGGGATCCACCCCTTGCCTATCCGAAGAACTGCGGGGTCCATCGTCTGCACCGTGGGAGCAGGGCAGCCGGAGGCAAGGGCATCTGCTGTGGGCATGTGCCCCACCCTTCCATTTGTGTTGAATATTAAATGTTATCAAACATTTTGCCTTGCATAGTTTGCTACTATTTTGTACTCGGCCAACTGAACTGGTTCTGTTGTGATTCCAAGTTCGTAAATGATAAAGATTGACAGGTGTAAATTGGACATGTGAAATACTCATGTTGGTGTTGACTCAGAGTTGTTTATATTATATTGTAGTGAGTGTGATGAATATTCATTGTAATAATAGTAATATCAAGCATTTATAAGGCGCACAGTATCTTACACTACATGCAATTCAAAGGAGCCAATATATCATCATTATCCCTGCACATTGGGCTCACAACATTTGATTTTTCTTAAGATCATCTCATCGGCTCCCTGGGAGTACATCAGCCCACTGATGCTATTTATCGGTTGAAATACAAAACAGCTATATGTGCCCTCAAAGGTACCCATTTACTGCAGGGTGGAGAGAGGCTTATAGGGGTAAAGTGACTTGCCCAAGATCATAACATGTTGCCACCAGCTGGATTCGAACCCTTGACCAAGTGATCAGATGCTGCAAACCCTTACCACATGTCCCCTTGTACTGTGCATTGGATGATGCTCTGTGAAGTTCTGATATGGACAACTGAAAACAGCAATTTTTTTGTCTGGGGAGAGGTGCTTGTAAACTAGTCTCAAATGGTAAAGCATTCAGCTGAACTTACATACACCGTAAGTGCAAAGTGTGTTGATGAGGAAAACATCCATTTGTCACAGACATCCAGCAGACTGTTGACAACACCCTTAACCGTCCTTGAACTGACAGAAAATGGTCGTGAAGTAACCACAAATTGAGGTGAAAAACTTGAGGTGTTGATTTAAGCCCTGGAATTCTGTGATAGTCATTGCCACTTTCTCCATTCAGTGATCCAAAAACAAAACTCCTCAGTACTTGTTTTAATTTGTACGCAAATAAAAGAACAAGACAGGAAAAATAGACGAATTGAATGATGTCTTTTGATTGATGAAGTTAGCAACCTTACAACAGGTGTAACTGGGTCATTCTCTAAATTCAGGATCTCCAAACTTTGGGTGCCCATTTCACACCCGACATGGAAATATAATTGAAACTGACTTTGAAATGTATTTGTTTTTCAGATAATTTGTAGTACTGAATGACTCTCGAAAAGAAAGAATTACTAAACTTACAAAATCAGATATCAGATGTTATCTGGATGCAAAAAAATTGAACCCAATTTATAGAATGACCCACTCAGGATTTTTCCTCCAGAATATATTTTTTACGTGTGAAATACATTTACAGATGAAGGAAAATATGAGTTCTGGAAATTTCTGATTGAATTTATTGTTTAGCATATAACCATCTATCACTGACAAAAGTATGCCATATCGTTTTTATTTTGACCCATTGAAATGCTATCAAAATGTAGCTTTCTGTGGTTTCTAGTATTTTGCATGAAGTATTTACTTGATTAATAAATTCTACAGCTATTTAAAGTTATCAAGTAATGGCAAATGTCATGTTCATTGGTACAAATAACATGATGTCCAACTGATTACCCTAAAGTTGTAGATCCAAGGCAAAGCATTCCCAAGCATCCCATCACCATGGTAACAAACCCTCAGCAGACATGTGGCATCTGCAAGAAGCATCACTCTGATCCTGGTCTTCTACCTTGCATTTGTGTCTTCCGTTCTTCTTGTCTTTAGAACCTTTCACCACATCAAGCAGAGCAGACCCTAGCAGTCCCAGGGAGTTTGTTGAGCAAATCATGGAGTGGACTTTATGGTGTGAGTATCTCTTGCCTGGCAGTAAAAAGCTCTAGCTGTGAAGTCAACATTTAATCAACACCTCACCAGTAAGCTGAAATAAGTCTTACATTGCTGTATTCCTCAAGTTGATAACATGCTGAGATTCAAGTCAAGGGTTAAAGCTGGCAAAGTGAATGGATGTGAAGTTCCTGGTGTCTTGGAAGTCAAACAACTGGATCCAATGAAATGCTTCGTGATGGGGGAAGGTATGTCAAATTATTTTAATCTTGTTTTCATATTTTTGACACACTGCAAAAATTAGTCACATCTCACCAGATGCACTTTTGTGGTAAAGGCCTTTGAAAGAACTTCCCACAGTGTTCAGGCAATAGGAATCCTCAGCATTTTAAACTCAACACAGAGTCCATTTTCATTATACCAACTGAGAGACACGTCAAAACAATGAGCTCACTTTTCCTGATCTAAAAAAGAGTAAAACTCAAAAAGTGGCTGCAGTGACATGGGACTAGTATTCGGAGTGGGTGATGTTTGGTATTTTTTAGAGTGACAGCAATTCACTTCATTGTAATTCTGCATGGAATTTTGAAAAGCACAGTCATGATTTGGTTTGGTCACATCGAAGTGGAATGTTTGTATGAGTTTTACCCTGACACCGGCATGCATTAACACTGTATACTCAGTGCTTGTCTGAGAGATTAATGTAAAAAAAAAGGAGGTCGTGGGTTCGAGTCCCACCTGAGTAAGCTTTTACAAGCTAGACAAGCACTGAGAATACAGTGTTAATTAATACATGTTGGTGTAAGGGTAAAACCTGTACTTGAAATTAATATCTCACCCCCCATGCCAAGTAAGTATCTTGAAATGGAATGTTTGTCACATCCAAACCTGGGTACTTCCTCTGCCCATTCTACTATCCTTGAACTTCTGTAAGTCCCAAGCGTTAAGCTAACAAATGAGCCAGGCTGCACAGGATATCTGTTAAATGGGGCTTGATGTGTGTCTTGCAATGTAAGCAAACAGAAAAGCCATGTCAGATTTCTCATGCCAACCAACATTCACCTTTTAACCCTGCCTGTGGGGTTACTGAATTCAGGTCTAATGACAGGGAAAGTTACAGGTGTTCAATATTAGCCATAAATGGTTTCCATCGTTCTCCAAATGGGAGTGTCTTTTTCATGGTCCATTCATTTGACATTTGGAATATTGTTACAAGTGACAATAAACATCGGTTCTTTCAATGACTTCTATTAGACACTATTTGACAGATTGCAAGGGCTTGAAACCAAAAGACACTTTGTCTTCAAATGCTGTATGTGGGATACAGGTGCTGATCTACCGGGAGTTTGGTTGCACGCTGATGATTGCTGTGCCTCACTTTCCGTACCCCGCTCCTGCATTGGCACTCTACAGCCTGGTTAGGTACTAGGAAAGGGATGAGCTGAGCCGTGTAGCAGGTTGAGTTGGAACCTTAAGTTTAGAGACAAGAGAGAGGATTTTTGCCCACTGTTTCTGTAAACCGAGTGTACAACAAACACCTAATTAGGAGGCACCTACATGCATGAATAAATAAAGCAGCCATAACCCCAGCTATTGGCTCTGTTGGTCAGTAGTCCATTGCCNTCCACTGAGACTGTTCGCGTGTGATGTGTGTGTTTGAGCACATGAGTGTGTACCCCCAGTGCCTGCTGGTGGTAGACTGCCCCACAATGAGTCTTCTTCCCTGGTCATCTTATTAAACCGTTCGTAGGACGGCCAAGGCCCTTATTTATTCAGGGTACATCCCCTTCCCAAGTCGCCTGAGGAACGTGGCCTGCCCCAGGTGGACGGCAATGGAGGTGATATTAGGGAGGAAAATTGTGAGTTTTTTTCCAGTTGATTAGTGTTTCAGTTACACAGCAAAATATTGCTTTTAGGTCGACTATCAGTCTTGCAGTGTGATAGTTGAGTCACCAATGTCAAGTCCAAGTCCTGAGTCTCAAGCCTGGAGTCCGAGTCCAAGTCTTGAGTCACAAACCTCAAGTCCAAGTCACAAACCTGATCAAGTCAGAGTCCAAGTTTCGAGTCCCAAACCTCAAATCCGAGTTCGAGTCACGAATCACAAACCTTGAGTCTGAGTCACGTCATGAGTCAAGTTGTTCAGCCAATTGTTCTAAATGTATCAAACCATGGAGGAACATCCATGATCAAAGTTGTAAGTTCATTGTGTGCTATCTGTTTTGTTTAACACTCTTGTTTGCTAAAAGTGTTCATGTTCACGGCTGGTTCTGGAGACTATGAGGGTGAATATGTACATCTGTAGTCGTGTGTAAATAACAAATGTGCGCCCAGCGCATGGTCTGATTACCACAGCACAGTTTGTGGACATGGAATATGACGTGTCTGGTTGACTCATCAGTGGAAATTTAGCTGTACATAAATGGGCGAGTAGAAAATGTGCAACGCAATGATGCTCCACGCATGCAACCAGTGATAGCACGGGTGCATACAAATTAATTTTTGACGGCATATATGGTAAATTTGTTTGATAAAAATACATGACTCGAGTCATGAGTCACCAAGCACAAGTCTGAGTCATCATGGTCAAGTCCGAGTCATTATCCAATGTGACTTGAGTCAAGTCCAAGTCATGAAAAAGTGACTTGAGTCCAGCTCGAATCTGAGTCCTAACCTTGAGTCATACAACACTGCAGTTTTGAAATGGCTTTGTTCTGGGTCTTTAATTTTAGAGGTGATTCAAACTGACATTGGTGGAAGTCTCGTGAGAGTCTTCATCATGTCCAATTGACATTTCCCACGAAATATGCAAATAAGACAGGCAGCAAGCACGGCCATCAACACTGTCAGCAGTGTAGGAGGCGGCTGCTCTAACTGTAACCTGGCGCGTTGAAGGTCAATCAAAACCGCATAACAACTCTTGTCCGATACTTCAGCATGCTTTTCTTAGAACTAAGTGAATTTTTCAGTGTCCTGAGGTTGGAAAGTGACAATTCCTTGTCTTTAAGTTCGGCACTCATGTCAAACTATACTAGTACAGAAATGGCATGTAATTGCTTATAGCTGCTGGGGCATAGAGACTTGTATTGTTAAATGTATGTCATAGATTCAAGCAATTTTGCCAACCAGTGGTAGAAATGTGCATGCGCCAGCTTTATTGGCAAGCTGTGAAGCAAGTGCGAGCCTATGTAATAACGATTTCCATTTTCTGTCTTTCCATTCGTCTGTCCTGCCAGCCGTCCTCAAAGCTTAAAGTTTTTCCTTGCAGGTCCATAGGTATTAAAATGTGCCAGTGAGTGCTTCTCTGCTTCCTCTTGGAATTCTATTAGTATTTAAATAGTCTCATATGGAATTAATGCTTAGAAACTTATGAATTTAATGAAAAATTATAAAAGTTGAATGTTAACATTTTGAGTTGTATTGTGTACTTACCCTGTAGTACATACAGTACATATGTACTGAGCACTCCTGTAATGTACATGTATGTATGTAGACAGTGTTTAGACACATACACACAAACATGTTTTTTTGGCAATTGTGGACGTTCCTATTGTCCTCTTTTGTTCGTAATTCAACTTTTTTGGGAAGCCTCTATTATGTTTTGTACACGTTTGGTAATCGTGGACATATCGGGAATCGTGGACAGTCATTAATTCTTTTGTTTAACGTCCACGATTGTTTGGGAACATCAGTGCATATGTACATGTACAGTATGTGGGAAAAATGTAAGGGATGGCGGGAAGACTCCAAATGACAGATGAGTTATTTTGTTGGGGGAGGGGTTCCTGTAGGAGGAGGATCATGGGGACAAGGTACAGGTATGTTGAAAGGGGNCCCACTGAGACTGTTCCCATGTGATGTGTGTGTTTGAGCACATGAGTGTGTACCCCCAGTGCCTGGTGGTAGACTGCCCCACAATGGGTCTGCTCCCCTGGCCATCTTATTAGACCGTTCGGACTGCCGAGGCCCTTATTTATTCAGGGTACATCCCCTTCCCAAGTCGCCTGAGGAAAGTGGCCTGCCCCAGGTGGACGGCAATGGAGGTGACATTAGGGAGGAAAATTGTGTGTTTTTTTCCAGTTGATTAGTGTTTCAGTTACACAGCAAAATATTGCTTTTAGGTCGACTATCAGTCTTGCAGTGTGATAGTTGAGTCACCAATGTCAAGTCCAAGTCCCGAGTCTCAAGCCTGGAGTCCGAGTCCAAGTCTTGAGTCACAAACCTCAAGTCCAAGTCACAAGTCACAAACCTGATCAAGTCAGAGTCCAAGTTTCGAGTCCCAAACCTGAAATCCGAATTCGAGTCACGAATCACAAACCTTGAGTCTGAGTCACAAGTCATGAGTCAAGTTGTTCAGCCAATTGTTCTAAATATATCAAACCATGGAGGAACATCCATGATCAAAGTTGTAAGTTCATTGTGTGCTATCTGTTTTGTTTAACACTCATGAGATGGATAGGATGATGGGGAGGGGTGGAGTAAGAAAACTTGAGTCTTTGTTGGTTTACTTTTAAATGACAGGTGCCTTTCAACACACAGTCTGCACACAGCACTGACTAGGTTTTTTTCTATTAGAGTACAATGAATTGTATTGCTAAGGTCAATAAAATATCTTGTACGTCTTTATTGCAGTCATGATATGTCTACCAGTGTTGTAAAAAAATTTGATAAAGCTTGGCTAGTATTTTCTTGTTGTAATTTAGTAACAATATTTGTATAACTTGGATGTCTCTTTCTTTCCTGTTATTACAGGAAAGAAGTTCAAATTTATAACAAGCAGCAAACTGATGATGGTGGCTTTGCCGTTTTAGTTTGCATATTTCATGGGAAAGGTCCATTGGCATTCTTGGTTACAGTGTTATGTGTATGGATGCCAAGGAGCATGGGCGGAGATTTCTTGTCATGTGGGGGGATGATATCTGAAAGTGACTTGAAAAGAAGGGGGATGATTATATTGGTATTTCCCCCCCCCAGTCAAAAAGTGAGGGGTGTGTGTCCCCCATGAACCCTCCCCCCTCAGATTTCTGCCCATGCTAAGGAGAGTCACATGTCTAACAAAAGAAGCATTATTGTTTCCACTCCAATTAAGGAGAGTTTTCAAGAATTTTAGTATTCTGATTTGTTAAATAACACTGACAACCCTTGACGCCAGGCCCCTCCCTCTTTAAGTCAACATGTCCAATTTTTAACTTCACTATTCGTCTTCTTGGATATTAAGTTGTACTTTTCCTGTCTATACCCACACCACCCTGACAAATTCACACATCCTCTAAGCCTTCAAATTTCATCCAATTCTGGAAGTTCCGTAAAAGAAAAACAAATTATTTACACTTGGGGATAAATTTTTGCCCATCTTTTTTTAATTTTTCAGTAACTATTTGTTTCTATTCTTATTTCCAGAAGGACATGAAAAAAACAAGGAAATGAACCAGAGAAAACTTTGAATTCATCCAGGTAGATTGATATAGTAATACAATAAATAATGATAAGGAAACATTTATATTGTGCAGGTATTTTAGAAATATACTCAACTGCACATGACAATACCCATCACTAGCTGAGGTGTAAAATTAGGTGTTGGAAAATGCTTCCTTGAATTGATGAGCTTTAAGAACAATCTTGAATGCATCACAGATTTGATATTTCTTGCATGAAAGGACAGGCTGTTCCAAAGCTTAGGGGCTACACAAACAAACGCATGGTCTCCAAGAGTAGCCTTAGTTCTGTGAAAGGGATGGCTAAGGATCAACCTGTCATGTGAACTGCAAAGACTATACATTATGTGGCTGGGATTTAGTGGCCAGTAATTCAGAGATGTAATCTGGTGCTAAGCCATGCAAAGTCTTAAATATAATCAAAAATATTTGAAATACAATTCTTTGTCGAACAGGCAACCAGTGAAATTATGAAGCTGGTCAATGGGACTAATGTGAACAATTCATGGAGAGTATGTTTCACAACTCGTTAGAGTTGCATCTTCAGCTCTACATGGTGGGCGGTCAGGTGTTTCTCTTGTTGCCGGTGACTGGTTTATAAGTGGGTGAAGGTTGTGCCACAGTCCTCTTCCCTTATTGAGAGATGGGTTTTTGGCGTTCATGGACACAGCTCCACAGACCCCTCCCTCTGAAACCAGCTAGATTCCCTCTCTGGAATGGAGGGTATCAATTTGCCTTCAAAATGGTGGCCTGTTGAGTTCAGGTAAGGCTACACTGCAGTCATGATGTATTGACACTAATCAGCAGTGCTGGTAGAGCCTTGTGTGAAGTGGCTTTTAAAAATCTACACACCATCTTTTACAATCGTCTCCCTGACATTGAATGGCACAGACCACATTGCTATGTTTTTTTTTGGGGGGGGGATTTGGTCTTTGGGGTGTAGTAGTTTTTGTCTAAGTGTATTAATATCAACATCTGTTGGAACTTGTGACAGACCTTGAACGTAGGGCAGCGACACATCAACACCCCTTAACTGATATGTGATGCACGAAATCGTGTACATGCGTATTGTACATAGTGTGGACCACTGCACAAAAGAAGTCCACATCATGCAGGGTATGATGGTGTTGTGTGGACTTGCACACGTCTACACAATGTTTTCCCCTCTGTGAAAAGCAGTTTCAGAGACATTTGAGGGTCAAGGTTATCTTTGGCGAAATGAAGAAGAACAGGTCAGGAAATCATCGTCAAAAATCCAGCTCAAAGGAGTCATCCTAGTTGGAGAAAAAGGAGCATTTACCTTAACCTTAGGAGAACAAAGGAATGTCCACACTACGTATGTAAAACAAGTGTGTGTGTTCTTATGTGAGCACTGGCGTGTCTTGAGGGCTTTCTGGATTCTCCAGTTCCTGTGCTGATATTTCAAAGTTCAAATCTTAAACTTCTACTGTACTGCAAATTAGGAAGGATTTTTTCCAAACATCTCCAAACTTTCGTTCTAATTTTTGCCCATTTCTATCACATTTTGCCAAAAAGACGGACAATTTTAAAGATTAAAAATGACGATTTGCATTTTATCATTAAAAACATAAAAATCTTTATCAATAAAACACCAGTACATGGTGTGGAGAGTTCACACCATACCCAGGTGGTGCAAGGGGAAGAAAATGTTTGGGTTCTGTGACTTGTTCCGGCCAAATGTCATCATTTACAGGAACATGTCTTATAAACAAGGAAGTCCGTAAGGATTTATGTTACAAGTACCCTGGGATTATCGGAAATCCTTGTGGATTTTTTAGTCTTACCTGTAATGCATGCATAAAATTTTCCTATAAATACAGAGAGAAACTAAAACACAGACAGACTGGACCTTGCCCTTGTTGCCGCAACTAACTTGACAAAGGTGAGAGTTTATAAAGGTAAGTGTCAATGAATTGATGGCTACCAAGAAGGCGTTTTTGACAGAGCTTAGCTAGCGGATTTTTCTCTTCATGAAATGGCAGAAATATACACATTTCCTGAAATGATTTCAGAATTACAAGTGTTAAACTCAATTGCTTCAGTACGGATGATTCACAAGAGTTGGCCAATCATGATGTGTGAAATCTGTCAACCCAATGTGCGTTTGGAAAGGGTTAACAGATTGTGGATGGCTAACGTGTTGCAAACCCTTTGAGGTGCACTTTTGTGAATCGTCCATGTTTTTAGTATATATTGGCACTTTTTCTGATCAAGCACATTGAGATTGTTTTTGCACTAAAATTTTAATTTTCTGTAAGAATTTCTGTATTTTTTCATTTTCTTAATATATTTAATATAATTTTCTAATACTTTTTGCTACATGTATTTAACTGTTATTCTACTGAAAGCTGTGCCGGTATGCACCCCTTTCAAAAGGGGTGCATACACAAACAAGAAAGCTTTCAAAAGCTTTCTTGTTTGTTTCTCCCTGATTATTACATCAAGTTGAAAGTAATTCTTTTGATGGTAGCTTATTGGAGATACCTTCAAAAGGACTCATACTACAAATAAAGGTCTTACTGCTCAAACTGCCTCAGAGTACATGTATATGCAACAGCCATTTCATTATGCGGTGTTGTAGTGGAATACTTTTTGAGTACCAAGGTTCTCTGCCAAATATTCAACTAGTTAGGAGGGAGTAAAGTGAAGTGCCTATGCATTCCAGCTTTATTTCCTCCTAACCAGTTCAATATTTGGCATAGAACTTGGTTATTGAAAAGTACTTGACTACAAGAACACTGGTTATTAGAAACTTTCAAGATATTGTTGGGTCTTGACAGCTACATGGAGTAAACATGTACTTATTGAAGTTTATTCTTTAAGGGTATTTTTGCCACATTTTTACTTTGAAGAGGTGCATTAGACTGATCTTGGTTGGAGCCTTGTGAGAGTTTCACGATGCCAAGCAGTGTGATGACATTCACATTTTTGGCCTTGACTGCCATAATGGTGGGGACCAGTGAGGCAGTAGTGGGGTGCAAGGGTGCTGATGGATATCCAGTTGATTGGTAAATCACTTGTTCAGGGAAGAAGTTTGTGCATTATATTCTCTCCATTCTTATTTTAATGATTTATGCTTTTCACAATTATCTTGATGACACTTTCTACTTTCATCCTTACTGTCCTTTCCCATGTCTTTTCTCTCAAGTTCTACTATATCAAATCTTGTTTTCTTTCAAAGTACCCAACTGTACTGGTGACACAAAGACTAAACAAGAAAAAACATATAATAGCAGACATCTTTAACAATTAATTATCAAGTTATATTTAAATTTCAGAGTTTCTGAAGGGTCTGAATTTTTCAAACTCTAAACAGGTTTATTGTGTACAAACTTCCTCAAGACTCAGCCAGCTCAATACCTGAGATTAGAGATGGGTATGGTCAGATGTACATGGATGTCAACAATCCAGTCTTGACACTTTCTAGTGCCTCGCTTAAAGACACTAACCATGCCATCGCCTACACACTGGAAGAGATTTATCGGAACCATGGAACTGGGGTGAGATGGACAAATAGAAGCTTTGTCATGTAGAAGTGTACATTTAGTCCTCATAACCAACACCATGGTTATTTAGGGCACTTGATTCACACCCAGCTAATTTAAACACACCTATTTCTGTCCCAGAATTTGGCACAGGTTATGTACAATGATCAACCACCTCCGGGCAAAGAAATCCAGTCAGGTCTTTACGGGCATACTAAAGGTAACTGAAGTAGAAAAGTTTGCAATTTCGTATTCCGTTTGATATTCTTTAGGATTTTTCTGGATGGATTCTATGGACATCCCTCGGCATTTTGGCTCTAATGTCACCCCTCTTGAAGTTGTGTTTCCAGCCCGGGGGGGGGGGGGGGGGGGGAGCTTGCATCCACTGATGTATTTTTTTTACAAAGAAAAAAGAAAAGGAA